GTGCACGGAGGGGCGGCTCGGTGGTGGCTCGAGGACATGCAAAAGTGGCCGCGGATACTCACTCAGCCAGGACTCCAGGCTCTCTCCTTCCGCCTCCGCCATATTGCAGCCGCCCGGGCCGGGCCCGCGGCCTCAAACCTCGCGACAACCTGCGAGAGCTGAGCCTGGGCGGGGCCTGCATGGGGGCCTGAGAGGAGTGAGCGCCTGCCTGCGACGGGTAACGGGAGGGCGAGTGTTTCCTTTTGATTCTTGCCTTTGGGCCTCGGGATTAAAGACTCTTAACACCCAGAGGGATGGGGCGACGCGCAGCTTGAGGACCCCGCGGAGCCTTTTCCCCGTCTTCCGCCACTCGCTCAGGCACGCCGAGGGCAGTCCTTGTGGGGTCCTCGAGGCAAACCAAGATGGCTGCCCCCTTGGTGAAGGCCGTGCTCGGGTGCTCGGACCTGACACTGAGCGTACGGAGTGCTGTCCTGCGGTTCCCAGGGTGAGAGGGCGGCGGGCAGCTGGGAGGCCGCTCGGTCCGCACCGAGAGGCCTGCGAGGAAGGACAGGGCCCCAGGCAAGACGCGCGGGACCTGCAGGCGGCCTGGAGGCCGGGGTGTCGGGGTCCAAAGCTCTGAACCAGCAGCGTGACTTGGGGCCAATCTGAAGGCTGGGTAGCTGCCCCCTGCCCGCGGGGGCTCTGACTCGGAGTTGAAAGCGCGGTCTTGCCGAGGAGCTCAGAGTTGGCGTTTTCTGTGTTGGGAGTTGGGGGGAGAGGTGCATAGGCGGGCGTCCGCCCTGAGGTTCAGGAGGCGGCCTTCCTGGCCTGTTTGGGGGCGGCCCTCCTACCTCTTGAGACAAGAGCCAGAATTACTGCTGCTCGGGTGGGCTAGCGGTGGCCGCGCCGCTCACTAGTCAGTGGGCTGGCCAGCCTGCCTATTATTAAGTCAAGCGTTCGCACTTGTGGAGTCAGCTCTGCCCGCCGCCCCCTCTTCCCGGTCTCCCAGGTTCACCCAGGTGAGGTGGAGCCGCTACAGCCCGGAATTCAGGGATCCGCAGATCGACAAGGACTATCACCGCAAGCCCTGGGCAGAGCTGACGGAGGAGGAGAAGTTTGAGCGGGAGCTCAGGAAGACCCAGCCCATCAAAGCCGCCCCGTCGGCGAACACTAGCTCCGTGTTTGAAGACCCGGTGATCAGGTGAGACGGGGCACTTTCGTTCCCCCGGGTCAGGCCCAGGGAGGATCTACCGCAAGGATTCCGGGACACAGCCTTGGAAGCTAAACCTGTTGCTTTTCTCCTTGAAGCAAATTCATCAACATGATGATGAAAGGAGGAAACAAGGTCCTGGCAAGATCCCTCATGACACAGGTAACTAGCTCCTCTCTCATCTTCCTTTCTCCTGTAGCTTTGTACTTGGCTTTCAGTTTAGCATGCAAAAGAGTGGATTCTCGTACCTGTCATGAAATGAACTTCCGTGGGTGTGTGTGTGTGTGTGTGTGTGTGTTGGGGCTTTCATGAAGCCCTGCAGGATGAACAACTGCCATTCCCCTCCCCTCCCCAAATCGCAGCGGCTCTTCCCGTCCTTTTCATGAAGCCCTGCAGGATGAACAACTGCCATTCCCTTCCCCTCCCCAAATCGCAGCGGCTCTTCCCGTCCTGGTGGAGGAGAGGAGGCAGCATTTAGGAGCTTTGGCATTGCTCTAGGACAGTGGTCGGCAAACTGCAGCTGGCGAGCCACACGCGGCTCTTTGGCCCCTTGAGTGTGGCTCTTCCACAAAATACCACGTGCGGGCGCGCACGAACAGTGCGATTGAAACTTCGTGGCCCATGCGCAGAAGTCGGTATTTTGTGGAAGAGCCACACTCAAGGGGCCAAAGAGCCGCATGTGGCTCGCGAGCCGCAGTTTGCTGACCACTGCTCTAGGAGAGTGGGATGATGGGAGCGAAGGGCAAGGTGCTCACTCAGCTGGGGAAACTGTTCAGGAAGCCTGGGCAGCCCCTGCCACTGTGTCCCGTTGCAGACTCTGGAAGCTGTGAAAAGGAAGCAGTTCGAGAAGTTCCATGCTGCTTCTTCAGAGGAACAGGCAACCATTGAACGCAACCCCTACACCATCTTCCACCAGGCACTGAAAAACTGTGAGCCGGTGATTGGGCTGGCACCCATCCTCAAGGGTGGCCGTTTCTATCAGGTGAGTGGTCAGGCAGGGACAAGATGCGGGGAGGGGTTCTTGCAGGTAGAAGGGACCAGAGTTGGATCAAGATGAATAGCTTTCTAGGGGCCAGAGACTATCAGGATCTGATCATGTGAGTCCCATAGCGTTAGAGATGACTGAAAATGGAAGAGAGCAAGGAAGTATCCAAGTGACCTCTTCCGGAGCCCCAGACCCCCCCAAAAAATTTTGTGTTCTGTCAGTTTCTCATGGTGAGAGGCTGTTTATATCTCATCCTTTATACACCGTGTCTAGCATAGTGCTTGACTTGTAACTGATGCTTCATCATGATCAAGATGAATAGCTTTCTAGGGGCCAGAGACTATCGGGATCTGATCATGTGAGTCCCATAGCGTTAGAGATAACTGAATATGGAAGGGAGCAAAGAAGCATCCAAGTGACCTCTTCCAGAGCCCCTAACCCCCCCCAAAAAATCTTGTGTTCTGTCAGTTTCTCATGGTGAGAGGCTGTTTCTATCTCATCCTTTATACACCGTGTCTAGCATAGTGCTGGACTTGTACTGATGCTTCATCACCATTTGTTGAACTGAACTAGGTGCCCCCATTATAGTATTTATGTTTCCTTGTCATAAGTGGGTGTTCTCATCTTCTTTTTCAGTGTAAACTTCATAAAAATAGAGACTTATTGCTGTCTGTGTCCCTAGGGTCCGGCATGATACCTGGCACATAGTGGGGGCCTGGCAAATGATTCTTGGACAAGAGGGTCTTATTTTTAGGCACCTGTCATCCGAGTTGGCTCAGTCACCCAGCTGGTGGGGCTTTTCCCAGTTGGTGCTTGTTATCAACTTGGCTGAGCTTCCATTTACAGGTAGAGAGGTCAGTGCTTAATGCGCATTTGCTCAGTGAATGCCTCTGTCTGCTGCACTGAGCTCACAGGTGAGGGGATCTCAGAGGAAAAGACAGGTCCCCCTCCTCAGGGGCCTTGCGAGGGCTGACCCAGAGGGAACCTGTGGCCGCTCCTTAGCACTCGTGGAGGAAGGAGGCTGCAACCCTGGCTAATTCTTGGGCCAACTTGCCCATGTCCTGTCTTGCACAGGTCCCTGTGCCACTAAGCGACCGGCGCCGACGCTTCCTGGCCATGAAGTGGATGATCACCGAGTGCCGGGAGAAGAAGCACCGGCGGACGCTGATGCCAGAGAAGCTGTCGCAGGAGCTGCTGCAGGCTTTTCACAACCAGGGCCCTGTGGTCAAGAGGAAGCACGACATGCACAAGATGGCCGAGGCCAACCGTGCCCTGGCCCACTACCGCTGGTGGTAGGAGGGGTAGGGGCTCTGGGAGCCGCCCAGGGCTCTCTGCTGCAAGACACAACGTGAGCCACTGCTACATTGGAAAATACCTGTGCCTAAGGATGTAGTTCCTTTTTAAGGGCGGGCCTCACAGGAAGGATGGTGCGGTATATTTATTGCTTTTAGTCTTTCCTTTGTGGGCTAGAACTCGCTCTCCCTGCCCCATATCCTTGCAAAGAGGCAATACATGGACTTGGATTTCCCCCAAGAAACTTAGGGCCCATCCAGCCTTATCTTCCATCTGCTTGGGGTGGACCTTTGGGTGATGAAAGGAGGCATTTTAGTATCTGAAAGGTTTATTAGGAAATTCTCACCCTGAACTGTGTAGCATGTGATACAGTACTGCCACCCATGAAAACAACTGGAGGAAATACGCCTGTTTCCAAAGTGGTCCTTATACAAAACGTATAAAAGTTTCTGGTGTGACTTGTGCTCTGCACCTTTCCCCCTTGACAGTCACAGTCCAAAGCATTCTTGTGCTCTGCACCTTTCCCCCTTGACATTCCAAAGCATCCTACCAGTGGCGATGGGTACCCATTTTACAGATGGGAAACTGAGGTGCCAGTGGTTACACAGTGCAGTGGTTGTTAGGAGTTGCCCTTCTCTTCCCGGGCCAGGTGGGAGGTATGGGAGAGACTGAGGGGAGGGGAGGAGGGGGCAGGTCTGTGTAGTGTTTTCCCCAACCCCTGCAGGAGGAGAAGATACTCAGGACAGAACAGAACCCCTGGATAAGTGGGAAACTTCTTGGGAACTGCTTGAAAACTGAGGTGCCAGTGGTTACACAGTGCAGTGGTTGTTAGGAGTTGCCCTTCTCTTCCCGGGCCAGGTGGGAGGTATGGGAGAGACTGAGGGGAGGGGAGGAGGGGGCAGGTCTGTGTAGTGTTTTCCCCAACCCCTGCAGGAGGAGGAGCAGATGCTCAGGGCAGAACCCCTGGATAAGTGGGAAACTTCTTGGGAGCTGCTGAGAGGCTGGGAGGGAAAAAGTCTTTGGAGAGGCAAAGACTGTGCTGCCAGGTGGGAGGTGGGTAGAAGCAAGGCCAGTGCTGCTGGGAGGGAAGCCTGATCTGGAGGCCTAGTCAGAGACCTCGCTGTAGTAATACTTGTGGGCAGCTGGGGTCGTCTTCCAGCCAGCTGCCCGGAACTCGATGATCTCCAGCAGCAGCAGCTGGGCCAGGGAGCTGAGGCTGGTCGGGAGCAGGAAGCCATCCCGGATCAGGACAAAGAGCTCATCCATTCGCTGCCTGTTCATCTTCTCCAGCTGCTCCCCAACTCGGTGCAGCTGCAGCACCAGGCAATCCACCTGCAGGGACAGTGGGAGGTGAGCCTCGGGCAGGGCCAGCCTGTCACACAGAGCAGCCATTTACTGAGCTCTCACTGCGTGCCAGACACTGCATGGCCCTAGACACGCATTTTCCCACTCCAGCCTCACGCCACCCAGTGGGTAGTACCCGTATCCTACATGACAGGAAGCAAGTTCAGAGACTTGCCTATGGTCTTTCATCTGGGCCAGGCAGACACTGGCCCTGTCTGCAAACTGCAGCTGAACCCCGCTTCCTCTCCACCACGCTGCCTGACCCCGGTTTGGTTTCTGGCCAGCAGTATCCACAGCTGCCAAAGCTCTCGCCATTTTATAGGTTGGCTTTCCTGCTGGGGGGAAGCCTCTGAGCCAGGAGGTTTTGGCTGCTCTCTGTTCTGGGTCAGTTCCAGACTTGGCAGCTTGTCCTGTACTGACAGGCCTTCACTGTCCCCCCACCCCCAGCTCTTGCCCCAGGAAGTGATGCCTCAAGCCTCCATGGACACTGGGCTGGTCTGAGCTGAGCTAAAGCCTGCCCACCTCCACCTCCACAGCCTTCCGGGCCAAGGCCACATACCTCCTCCTCCTCGCTCAGACTGTCGGGCTGGGCCAGCCGGAAGAGGCAGTCATAGACGGGGTTCACCAGGGCCATCATGGGCATGTTGTTCACCTGTCAGGGACAGCAGGGGTCAAAGCACTGGCTTAGTGGCCTCGGGAGATGGGCTGCCTGCTGCACAGGGCGGCTGCGGTGGCCTCACCCTCAAGTAGTCAAAGATGTTGCAGATAAAGGTGACATAGCAGACCCAGCCCTGCGGGGAGCGGGCGCGCAGCTGCTCCCGAGCCTGGTACTCCTGCTGTAGCCGGTTGAGGAGTCCACGCCGGAAGACACTCTGGCCTGCTTGCTTGCTCTCTGCCTGTGAACCAGAGGAAGGATGGCGGCATTAGGGACGGGCAGTGCCATCACAACCCCACCTGAGCTTCCATGGCTGAGGACCCTCTCGTCCTACTCTCTCTGCCTCTGAGGGAAGTCCTTCGCATCTCTGCCCACGCCTGAAGCCAAGTGTCTCCCCTCTTCTCCACCAACGCTCCCCAACCTGAATAATGGCATAGCACATGCGTCCTGCTTCCTTGCTGAACACGCGGTCCTGCAGGGAATGGTCCACAATCACATTGGCCACTTTCTCCAAGTCCACGGCACCTGGATCTGGAGTAGAGACAGGCAGGCAGTCTTGACCTGCTTAATTAGCACATTTGCCTCCACCTGCTCCTGAGAAGGACTGGAGATGTTTACAGAAGAGCACAACCATGACATGCTTACATTTCACTTAGAGATCGGAAAGCAGGCACAGCTCCGCCCGGAGCCTCCTGCGGCCCAATCAGAGGCAACGGGGAAGGTCATGCAGCTGAGAGACTAAGCAAAGAATGCTAGTTTCCTAGGACAGATCGTGTGGCACTAGGCTGAGGAAGGAACACTTACGTGTCTTTGACAGCAATTTCACAGGAGCAAGTGTTCTCATAACACACTCCCATGAACCCCTGACATGAGCAGGCCAGGCAGGGCCTCCCCCACAAGCTCAGCGTGGCATGTGATGGGCACTGCCAATTGTTAACCGAGTCAAGCTTCTGTCCTGAGTGCTGCGGGAGGCCTCGGTCCAGGACAATGACCCTCTCTCCCCTGCCAGGCAGAACACTCTATCCTCTGTCCCAACTCAGGCAGCTCTGCACGTTCAAGAGCGCTGGCTGCAGCAACGCAGAAACCAGGTCCAATTTCAGGACTTGAAGAGCAGGACCCGTGTTCTCTGTGCCCCACGTCCCTTTCATGAGCACATAAACGTTACTAGGAAGGCTTTACATTCTGGGAGGACTATGACTCACTCCCAAATACTGGCCTGAATGTAGCTTCTCTTTTGGTTTGAGAGTTATGGTGCTGACTCCTATTCACAGAAATCGAAGGGAGAGAGAGGGCTGGACATTCCCAGGCTAGGGCTCAGTCCTCCGGTCCCGTCCCCGTGGCCCCGTGTCTGCAGCTCCAGACCCAGGCTCAGGAGGGCTCCCCAAGCTCACCTTTGAGCGCTGTCTTCAGCAGCTGCTGGGTCTCTGCGTCAAAAGACTGGATTTTATACTCCTCTCTACCAGGCTCCCCCATGACCATCGGCCCCAGCAGCTCCTTTCTGGGCAGAGTTAGTGACAGCACCTGGGGAGGAGGGGAGGTGAAGGGGGAGGCCTCAGATGTGGAGAGTGAGGCCGGGATTCCCAGACTGCAGGCCCTGGCTGGGGCTGGCCACTGCTGGGACAGGTACTCCTGGGCAGTCCTTGGCATTAGTAGTTGGCCGAGTGCCCACCAAGCTTGGCTTCTGGTGGAGACTGGGCACCAGCCAAGCACCTGCTGTTTAGTTTAGGAACCCCTGTAGCTTCTGGGATTACATAAGAGCAGAGAGATGAAGCGTGAAAGCGCCTACCCTCCAGTCCCGACTGGAGGCAGAGTTACTCTCAGCTGATACCAGGGGTGGGGTGGGGTGCGCTGGGCTGCGGGTGTAGACAGTTGCCTGCCCATATAAATCGGCTTGAAGCTGCTGGCCCCGCAAGATTCTGAGCGAATGAGAAG